ATCACCCCGTTAAATGGAATGCCTGTGATTAGCCTCATTAAGAATTTTATACTGTGAAGATTTTATTAAAAGCAATATATGAAAATTACTTGGATTAATGTGTTAATCTGCCTCTTTAAAATGCTAATATCCATTTTATGCACATTAAATCTCAGTATGTGTTTTCTTTGATGCATGCAGTTCCTATCAATTAAATATAAAAAATTAGGCTAGTTGCAGGACTTATTAAATTACTGCACCCTTTTTTAAAATAACTTTTACCCTTCTACTAACATTATAATCAGCTGTTTATGGTTACCATAATTTGAAGTAGGGGGAGGGCAGGCACAATCATTTTCTGTACAGGAGATGATTTACTTGCAGCCAACATCTGTCACAGCACAAAAAGAAGCCATAGACTATCAGATTTTGCTTCACCTACTTTGGGCTTTCGGGATGGGCAACTGTTTTCATTTGGGTTTTGTCACTTTTAGAACTTACATCAAACATATACAATAAATTGTTGTATCTGAATAACTACTGTCTAGTGTGGAAAGTTAATTTTACAGCTTTTAACCAATCTCAGTGAAGGGTTTAATTGATATTTTTAATGGAGCTGTGAATCAATGCTGCAAAAGGATTGTCTCTTGAGAATGAGGATATAATACATTTCATTTTTTAATTTACTTTTTTATTTGTCATTTTCTTCAAAGGATTTTATAGACTGGATTTCCACTGTTTGCAAACAGGCTATGTTTCTTCATAAGCATATGTAAAGTATTCAGAGAGATAAGTAATTTATTAAAATCTACCTAATTTGCCGTGATATATTAAATCTCTGCTTCAGTGATCACAGACCATTTCATTTAGAGAATTAGGCATTCCCTCTTTGTGTGATTAAAGCTCTGGAAAATGAGTTCTTTGCTCCTATTTGTGAACATTCAAAGCCTGCTAATGGCAAGAAGATGGAATAGATTATGAGACAATTCATTACAGTTCAACAGAAAAAAACCCCTGCTATAATGCAGAAATGCAAGTATGAATATCTGCATATAGTTTGAACCATCTGTGCTCTAATGCCTTCAGTAATGGCTCTTCGTCTTCAGTAGGCTTTGAAATGACATCCATACAATATTAATTTGTTGATGTACATTATGAGGCCAGTGGAATGAATATATTCTGACCACAGAAATCTCTGAATTCCAGCATGGTCTGCTGGTTGACTCCATTTTAGGGCTTACCATCTTCAGTAGGGCTTCTCATCCAGGCTTTGCCAATCCTCGCCGCGTTTCATTCCTCTGGAACTTCAGGAGACCACAGACAGCTGCATTCCTAAACCCCTCCATTCCTCAGTTAATGGCCATATGTTTGTTGTCATTTGGGCTGGCACTTAGTTCATCATTTTGGCCACTCTTTCTAGCTTTTTTTGGCTCTGTGCATCCATATTGTCAATAAGACTGTTATTATACATTACAATAATTCGAAACAGCCAGATTCAACACTGAGATTAACTGAGTGGCTTTTTAGAAATTTAGTTGTGGTATTCTGTCAGGAGGTTCTTATTATTCTTCTAATACTTTGCAAACCAAACTAAATATCCTGCACATAAACAAAGAAGCAAATTGTATTGAGTTTTTGTGTGTGACTGTTTACTGACTTGCAAGAGAACTATGTTAACTGGTGCTTGTTTTCTTCTGAAATAAACCATGTGGTAAAATTAGAAAATCAGTGATGTTCATCTCACTTAAACATTTACAGTAACACCCTTAACACTTAATCTTCGCCATCTGAAGTTGGAAACTTAGAAACCAAGAGTTCATATATTCATTAAACACAGATCTCTTCAGTAAGTTACTGCAAAATATTCCAGTTGACATTTGGTTACATTGTGTTAACTGCTCTCAGTGACTCCAACATTAACATCTATAATTTGCCTCAGGTTCCTAGACATATTTCTTCGTAAGGCTCACTGTTACTCAGTTTCAGATTTTAAGAAAATAATCCTGATTTCTATTCATGTTTATTGCTAAAACAGATATAATATTCAGCAAGGATTTTCCCAGCAGATGGATTGTATTATCTTATGCAACATAAACATATGATCATACCAGAAAGTTTTGTTCTTGCATTAAGTAGTCTGTATTTCCAAAATGCTCTTAAATCTTAATTCTAAATGCTACATTGTGCAGGGAAAGTGGAAGATGTAACCAAGTACTATTTTGTCTAGATTTTAGCAATGATAGCTTGAAGAAAACATGCATCTATGTAATCTCTAGGCTAAGGTACAAAGGAGCCATATTAAAGCTGGGTACTACCATGCTTTAAAATGTTACTCAATAACATTCATTTTTGTGGAATAGATGAATTTTTTGCTATGGTGTAACTTGGTCATCCCAGTGGTTCTGCATAAGATGAAATTGCAGTGTCAAATGATCAGTTTTGTTAGTGTATATTTTCCCATTTATTGTTACAGCTCATAGCTTTATTGTGATAACTTCTGGTGTGTTATGATAACTGCTCTTCTCCAGGTTCCCAGGAATGTTGATCAGGATGGAAATTTTTAGCTGAAATAAACTTTATCTGTTTTAAATGTTGCTTTTAACCTTTTATAACCTAAACCTAGGAACAGAAGTTGTAAGAATAAATACATCATGAACCAGGTAACAGCTCTGTGAAGTCAATCAGTCTTGCTGTGGAGTAAGTCAAAGCTTCTCTCATCATATAAGAGTAGATATAACACAACAAAATGTATTACTTGTTTTTTTTTATATCAATATTAAAGTCAATAGTAACATTGTTTTAAAATGCTTCTTATTATTTCAAGGCATAGTGAGATATTATCATAGTTCAAGAAGTCTCCAAACATATCAAGACTAAATATTAGCTACTAAATTTAATTTTTTTGGTTTGTGTTGGAACTGAGAAATAATTAAAATACAGGTTTAAAAGTGTGCTACAAACCATATTTCAAATTTTATAGCCAGAGAAGTACTACATGTTTTAATTACAGGCACAGTGACTTATCCTTCAGTTTTTTGAGACACTGCAAAAGATGATAAATATTTTGATACAACTTCACCCATGTTACTGTTTATGTCATAGCTTTTAGCAAATAGACTAGATCCTGCAACTGATACTGGAAGAAATTGTATGAAATTGATTGTAGAATAAGAATTCAGCTTAATGCCTTGGTATGCACATGATAAAAATTTGCTTTTGGCACAGTAAACCCAATGTGTACTGCTTTTTGCTTTTTTTTTTTTTTTTGTATTTGTGACAAATTTTATTTCTTTTTCCATCTTTTGAAATGGGACGAGGCAACTTCTGAGGAGTCGAATCATGCATGTTTGGGTTTTAGAAGCGTTTTAAAAGGTTTTTTTTTTTATTTTTAAGGTCCTTGCTGAATCATACTTCAAGCTTTCAGCATCTGGCAGCATCAAAGTCTAACTCCTAGCAAAATTTCATCTCCAACAAGAGCTGCTTGTAAATGATCAGGTACCAGCTGAGGATGTTTTGTCTGTGGAAGTAAGCCATTACAAACCTTTAAACAGAAACGCTTATGGCTCTCAATAGCAGTAGTTCTGTCACAATACCATGTCAGGATAGGATCATTCAGGCTCAGGGGGTCTCTAGTCCAGCCTCTGCAGGGTTGGGGGTATCCAGTCTGTCCGGTTTTCGGCTGTTTGGATGGCCTGGAAAGGCCCGAGGTGGCCTTGGGGCAGCCCGCGTATCAAAGGACGAGAAGAGGCTTCAGTTCTTCTTTCGGTTTTTATGTTTATTAATTGTTTATCTAAAAGATTTTCTTTCAGCTGAACAGAGCTCTGCTCAGCAGTCAGCCATGGGCACACTGTCTGCCCTCCGGGGCAGCCACCTATCTTTATACCCATTGTTACGTGTACAATATTTATCATTTTTCCCCAATACCATTTATTCTCATTGCTGGGTGCACTCTCAGTAATAACCAATCCAAAAATGCCACCATGGCCAAAGAAGATGGAGGAGAAGAGGAAGAAGAAGGAGGACAGGACACACCCCAATTCCTCCATCTTACTCCTCTAAACCCCCCTGTACATAAATCCTAAACCCTGTGTCTCACCCTCTAATTAGCTAATCCCTTCACCATTCACCCCGGTGAAATCCTCCTATCCTCATACAGGTGTCGTCTCCTGTGTAGGATCAAAGTCCAGCCACCAGACACTTCTGGAACATTCCAGGACTCCTGGGCCCCCCAAGGGTGCTCTCGGTGGCCCGGCATCTCAGGACTGAGATCCTGAGATCCCACACCAGTCTGGGCTCAGGGAGCAGTTTCTGTCTGGGTGCCCTTTCCTGAGCTGGTTTCCAGGCCAGGCTGGATGCAGCAATGGGGTCTGACATCAACAACTGACCACTGCTGGTGTCAAAACATGTCTTACTTCAGTAGTCCAATATCTGCAACTCTGCAAGACAGGTCTTGAGCATGATCCAGCAATGATTTGTTTGTGGATTTGGAAAATCATCTATTTCCTAGTTAGACAAAATATTAGCTGCTAAATTCTTGTTGCATGCAAAATTATTTCCTACATATTCAAGCAGCAAGAACTGAAGTGTTATTGAAAAAATATAGGGAAAAAATGAGGTCTTTCTATTACTACAACAATAAAAAAAATCAATAAAGTTTTTTTTTCTTGAAGAACTGTTATCAACCAGTGATTATTTTGATTACCTACTCATAAGTATAAACAGCTACAGTAGCTGATAGTCTTTGCCTTCAATGATAATGAAAACCAGAAGATGTTCTACCATACACAAGGCAATTTTCCCAGAGAAATTAAAGAAGGAGACACCAATCAGCATCTGATTCCAAACATAAAGTACACGAACAATAAAGAGAACACAGCAAACTTAAGAAAACATCAGAAAAGCTTTGCAGAAAATCCACATTTTGAAAGTATTCCTTAACATTTCCTCTGTAATAAGCAGTTATCTTAGTATACCAAAATCAGACCCATTTGGAAAGTTTCCAGTTGCTATTGTCAGTGGTATAATTTATATCTTGGATGAAATGCACAAAAATGGATCTATTTATAAAACAGAACCAGTTGTGTATCACAATGCAGTAGATATAACCTCAGCAACAATATACATTGGCAGGCCTATCTACAGTTAAGGCAAACAAGTCAGTGTAACTTGTCATTTATTTTAGAATGGAATTTACAGTGATTGACTCAAAGTCTGTATTAACAGAGCTTTTTGCAGACATTTGTGAAAGTTCTGTGGGATTATATTTCCACCCACAACATCAGATATGACAGGGGCCTGTACCAGGGCCCCTGTGCAGCTCTCTGTGGATCCTACAACAGCATCCTACAACAGCGTTATGGGCAGCACTCACTGCTGAGCCTGGTGAATTTCTCCTTTGTATCTTCTCTTTTTGGGCTGGCCTGTTCAGGAGGAGCACAGAATTTGGCTGTTAGGAAGCCTGTAAATGTGAGACAAGCTGTTTCTGCATTTTCATCTTTCTCTGAAGGACAGTCTCCCTACAGCAGGGAAGTGGGAGGCAGATTTTCTACTAATGGTGAGTTTTATTTAAAGTCAACAGAAGGACTCTGGGGAAAGTTGACAAGAATTTCCTAGATGCTACAAATCAAAATACTTTTCTGTTACTTCTGCAGTAAGTGGGAAGTCCAAATTCTACCAGGCCCATAACCCTAATTCTTGCACTTGGTTCATTGTAAATTTTGGTGAATTTTGGCAAGTTGCAGTGATGACAGACAAAAACCAGAACACAGAAAGATGTAGGGAGAAGAGAATAAACTCGAAGAATTAATTTATAGTTAAAGAGAGCAACAGATTGGCTTGACAATCCAACAGAATTTTTTCCTCCTAACAGAAACAATGCTTGAAAAGGTCCCAAATAAAAGCATGTGTGATGCTGCTGAGAGAAAGGCTTTTGTTCAAATAAGAGTTGAAATTATTTAGGCATTTACTGGAAGCTTCTCTCTATCTTTATTCTTGCCATGTAAGAAATGAGGTTTTACAATTAATGAAGAAAGAATTTCTACTTGTGACTGTTGTGCAGTATTTCAGCTAATTCCTACACGTCAGTGCCCATCGTCTGGGAGAAAACAGAAAGCACTGGAAATCTTTTCATAACATTTCCCACCTCTGCTGAGGAAAATCTCTGGAAGAACAGAGCACCAGGGTCAGCCTGGCTGTGCAGGAACACCTGGTGCAGGATAACTGGGACATGAGGGATTTAGGAGCTCTGTCTCCCCGAGAGTAACTTCAGTAGCTGCAAAGGATTTGGTGATTTTTGAGGGCCTGCAAGGACTATGGGCTCCTTCCTGGGGTTGCTGTATGTCACTGGGAAAAGGGAGGGAAAAGGTGGGTCTAGGGGAGAGGAATTTACATGGGAGACATCCTGGGAGACAAGGAACAAGAAAAAATGACATAAGGAAATGAAAAGGAAAATGGAGAGAGAAGTTAACATTGTAAAGTGGGTGTCCTTCCAAAGTGAGCTTTCCCACTGAGCTTCTCCTCAGCACCTCTAAGAGGCTCAAGTTTGGATGCAAAGAGGAGGGATGACCCAGGTGGGGATGCTGAAGGGGTGTGGGGTTGGTGTGAATATGGTTTTACCTTTGCTCATTTGCCTGTTTTAGTATTGAGCCTGATTTCTTGAAGCTTCTGCATTAGAGAAAAAGGAGGTTTCCATAAATGCCTGCAGGATTTTTGCCTTGGAAGCAAACTTGCCAGGACTTCACTAGCAAGCCTGTCACACAGAGGTTATTTTGTACAAAGGGAAGATGCAGGACACTGAACTTGAGAGTCTGTTTGGTTGTCCCTCCAGGATGGCCTTCCTCAGCCACATCATCCTCATCCTCAGCCACACCATCCTCATCCTCAGCCACACCATCTCCTGCCCATGTGAAGCTCAGCTCTGGATCCAATGAGGGGCAGATGAACGGAAGGCGAGCCCTGGCACACAATTCGTGAAAGGACACACAGCTCATGGAAGGACACACAGACAGGAAAATGTTCGGGGGAGACAGAGTGGGTGCTGAAAGCAGCTGTTGGATTTCACCTGGAATTCAGTCCTGTCAAAACACATTAACAAACAGAATGATTCTTCTCAGACTTTGTTAAAAGGCAAAAAAAAAAAAAAAAACAAAAAAAACCCAAAAAACCCAACAAAAATGCAACAAAAATGCAACAAAATAAAAATAAAAACAAAAATAAAATTGCAAAAAGAAAAAACAAACAATAAAAAACCCACAACAAACAAAACCTAAAACACCCCACCCAGTAATTTGCGAAACATCATCAGAAATTATGGGATCATGAGGTAATCTCTTGTGGTAAAATGTCTGGTCTGCCTTTTTTTACTATGCTTTTTATGATTAATTTTTCTTGTAAAGTAGTACTGTTGATACCATTTACACACATGCTCTCTGAGTATTAACATGAAAATGTAAGTTCATTTTGGGAACTGCTGGAGGGTGGATGCTATTCACATCTTGTAATCCTTGTTTATGTTATGCTCTGTCTATTAAGTAAAACAGTTTAAGTGCACTAAGTGAAATGGGAGATTTATATTTTAAGGTGGGGTTATGTTTACAGAAATAATTGTTAGCTGCATCAGTGAGAAAAGCAAATATATAGTTCATTTTCTTTGGGTTTAAAGCCAGACAAGACATTTGTTGTAAATTATTCTTAGTCCCTAACAGAGGCTCTTGAATTTAGTTACCTGCTGAATTACTGAAGGATCTCAGGCCACTTTAGGAGGAAGATCTGCAGCCACTTTCTGACTTTGTTACTGCACTTTGACTACAGTGTGGTTCACTCTCAGGCCCGAGGCTTAAATGGAGTGTGAAGGTTTGTCTGTTTTGGTTCCCATTATTTGACATCCTTCACTTGAAATCATGGTTCCACCCAAATCTTCTAAAAACTCACCCAAGGTCTGGACACTTCATTGTGTGAACCTCACAGCAAGACCAGCCCTGGTTTTAGGGGTTTATTACAAGAGTTATTGTTCTACTTTACAAGGTTTCAGTGCTACTCTATTTCTTTACTTTCACCAATCTGATAATTTAAAAAATTAAACATAAATTTGAAAGGAAATCAGTTTGTTGCATATTAAATTATATAATATTTTAATTAAAAATTATAGTTGTATAATACGGTGAGGCACAATTAGAAAATACTATTTTATGTCTGATTTTTTTCCTTTGTTAACATGCTTTATTTTAGCATTTGCTGTCAGGGGAAATGTATGCCAAAACTCTCATTTTTCAGCTGATTCTAACTTGATATACAATATAGAACATGACTTTATTTTTAAATATGAATTCATGGTTAAACACAATCTCATTGTGCATGCTAAAATCACTAATAAATATGTTTCTATTTATGTCAACTTCTATATTAATCCATGTTCTGAGTTTTAGGGTGTTAAATTATTGCTTTTAAAAATTGCTTGTTCAGGGAAGAATTATTTATCAAAATGTTCATGTACAAAAATAATCTTTTTGAGATTGGTCTCTCAGAAATCCTTTGACAGCAAAATAGAGGAATGTTCTTCTCTTTCATTTCTCAACACCTTAGAGACCAGTTTGTTATTTTATCTTGCGGCATTTTTCTAGTAAATACACCAGGTATTTCCACAGCATGCTGCCTGGAGAAGAAAATGGGAATTTAAAAGTGGAACCTTCCATTTTACAGAATTGATATGGACCACACAGCAAACTTAGGTAAGTGCTGGAAGTACCCATGGCATGTCAGGATATTACAGATCAGAATGAACAAAGCCCCACTTGTGGATGAAAGTTGCCCCCTACTGTCTGATGTGACCTGTACATACAGAATTGTCACTCACAATTTTGAAGTTAATTTGTCTACTGCTTCTTAAAAGAACTTGTTTGAATTCTGAATTTTAGAATTCAATATGGAAATATGGTGCAGAGGTGATCAGATGTTACAGGAAGAAAATGAGCTGAAAGACTGCTCTAGTAATAGCCTGGTTCTAGCATTTGCTAACAAACATTTATTGAGATAATGATTAGCGTTCCATTTATAATTTTGAAGGACTCTCTCTCCTTGATAGTATTATGAACCTTTAAAGCAAATTTGTTTAAAATATTAATTTTCAGGGTCTATTTGGTTGTTGAAGACTACCCCTTTGTGAGCTTATTTCAATTATACAGTAATTGCAGAGTATCATTTCATAATGTACCCACCACACACGGTTAAGCTGAGAAATATTTTTTATTCAAATAAATGTAGACATTAAGAAAAAAACAAGCTTTAAAGTTTTTTAAAAAATCTTTCCTGAATACTGTAAATTCCCTTAAATAGTAGTTAGTACAGCTTCACTACCTAATGAGACTTTCTGAGAATTTGTCAGCAATGAAAATTAGCAGGTTAAAATCCTTACATGCATAAATAATTTAAGGATTGAGAAGAAATTAATCACAAATGCCAAACCTCTGGGAAGCCTGTAAAGCATTGTCCCAGTCACAATGTAAATATATGTCCCTACTTACACTGCACAAATGGTACTTGGAAACAACTACAGTGGTAACAAAACAACTGCCAATGTTTATGCTTTCAAATTATGTCTGTCAGAACAACTTGCATGTACAGATCTTAAATGATTCAGTAATAAATGCCAAACACAACTCTGCAGCAGATGCTGACTGGTATCCCATTGATATTATTAACTTTTTTCTCTGTTATTATTAAGTCTTAGATACCATTTTTGTTGGATACTAAAATACACTTTTTTAAAAGTACAATCTTTGGATTGCAATTTCCAACAAGGACTCCTTAAAGCATTTTACAAACTGTGTAGCTGTAGCATACAGAAATTACTTTGAAAAGAGAAACAGAAGAAACCCTTTCCTCAAGGCACTTGATGGGAGTTGAGGATGTGGCAATGGCAAAGTGGCAACACAACTGTGCAAGGACACAAATTGCAGAGCTAATGGTTTATTTTTGAAGGCACACACTCTTTCCTCTCAGTCCCAGTACCTGTTGCTCCTGTTGTTACAACTTCACTTCTGTAGAAAACACATTTCTCTTTTTGAGGATTTATTGGTGCTGTCAGGGAGATATCAAGCAGGAGGCAGCTTCTTCTTGGATGTTGCTCTAAATGTTAAGCTTTGTATGCCTGCAGGGGACAACAGGAGAAGCTTAAGGAACAGAAATCCATGCAGGCTTACTAAATGCTTAGAAGTATTAGAAGGCACTTGTGGCTCAGAAATGCCCCAAGCTGAAAAGGGGTAGGGGGTGAGAGAATGATAGGAGGATGTGTTATATATTCTTTCCCTGTTGTTGTTATTTAGGCACTCCCAGTGACTTCACCACATCAAAACATGAAATTAAGCCTTGTCCTGGTTGTTAGGCTCCCTACTTCATTGCTCAAAATAACTTTTTAATAGTATGTACTGCATTCTACATAGTCCTGCTTGGGACAGCAGTACAGCAGAGACCCTTAAACAGGAAAAAAGCAAAAAGAAACTAGGAACTGACATTAGGAACTGACATCAGAAGCACAATACAGGTCATGTATTCTAAAAGTTCAGGTTCTTTGTTCTTGAATCCCTTGCAGTCCATAGGTCATTTTGTACACAAACTGTACAGTTTTCAGTTTGGGGTCACAATGGGGCTTAACTAATCTGTAACCCAGTAATCAAATTATCACTCAGTGGTTTGCAGACTTGCCACTCTCACTGTTCTTTAACCACAGTTATAATTTCAAGAATTTCATGTTTCCTGCATATGCTATGAAGTTTTTAGTATATGTGAAAATGCATACTTAAACAAGCAACCACTGTGCTGCACAAGTTGGAACTTCCTCTCATTCAAACTGATGCAATCAGTTTAGCAAGGTTTCACTGTATCTCAACAGACTGTAAATTTATCTGTGTTAAATTTAAAAACAAAAATAACAACATAACAATCATATTTATAAGGATCCACAAACTGGGTCAGACCGAGTAACAGATCTGATTCAGTATTTCTGAAAGGATGTAGACTGATCAGCCTAAAAGCCAGGCATCCTGCAGTACTACAGGTGTCTTTCTCAGACAAAGAACAATAAAAATAAGTACTTTAATCCTAGAAACTTAAGGGAAGGTTGACCAGATATTTGAAGAGTTTTTTCCAAATTTCCTGGGGTTTGCTTCTTGACACTTTCTATTGTAGTTCACGTTCATCAGATGTGAAAATGCTGAGTCTCTCTTTAATTTCACTTTTATATTGTCCCCTTTGCATCAAGTGTTACTGAGTTCATTGCTCTCCTGGTGACACCAGCATTGTTACCAGCATGTTTTATCCTGTCCTCATCTACCACATGTATGGTAGAGGTGACTGTGTCATATATTTTATCTTCTGAGCTGGAAGGGACCCACAAGGATCATCAAGTCCAACTCTTAAGTGAATGGCCCATACAGAGATCCAGCCCACAACCTTGGCACTATTACCACAATGCTCCAAACAACTGAGCTATCTCCAGTGTTGATCTGTATGGTTTGGGCTAAATAACCATTTCTGCTTTGATGAACTTGAGGGCTGGGAGGAAAAAGAGCTGGAGAACCTATCTGTCCACATCAGCAACCATCACACAAAACACACCAGCTCTGTGCAATTAGCAGAGCCATGCTGCTGACCATGCCTGAGAAGAGGCTCCTGTGCAGTGCTGGCTTGCACACATCTGTAATCAGTGGTTTGTGTGCTGGTGTGTCAGCCTGCAGCTGTACAAATCAGCTGTGCATGGACATGGCCCACTTCCAGCACAGTACAGCCCATACTGCTGGAACCACTTTTAAGGAGGGCATGGTTTGGTGCCCACCATTGCAGCTCCATCAGTTTTTAAAACTGATACTCATCTCACATAGAAACACTGTGGATGTGCTGACTCTTCAGTGAGCGCTTCTAGAGGCAGAGGCCTGTTTGCTCTGTGGTCTCACTGAGAGAGACGCTAAATTCTGCTGCTTCCACTTCATTCAGGTCTGCTTTATAAGATGGAGATACTTAGATGACTGCAGTTCTACACTTTGAATAGTACAGTGTTTGCCTTGACAACTCAGTGCTGAAATTACTGTTCCTTCCACCTATTTAGTTATGAAGTTGTGGGTATGACACGCATCTGACAACTCACCTGGAGAACATTCTGCTCCAAAAGGCCAGGAAGTGTTTGCCGCTGTTGTGGTGGTGAGATGATTCGCAGGAGACATCTGCCTGTGTAGTTCACATGCTGCATTGCAGAATTGTTCAAATACCTAAATGCCTCTATGCACAAAATCCAGGATATGCATGAACAAACCTTTGGAATAGACAAGCAGATGCCATGGATTAAAGTAGAGCTCACAGAACAGAGATGAGGGTTTGGAATTTAAATTGCAATACTTCATCCCAGGACTGATCCAAAAAGGTGTTACATTTCTTGTACAGTAAAGCGCGACTATCGTAAAACTGCCGTAAAGCGCGACTGTCGCAAAACTGCCGTAAAGCGCGACTGTCGTAAAAGGGGCAGTAAAGCATGACTGTCGCAAAATATGTCGTAAAACGCGACTGTCGTAAAAAACTGCCGTAAAGCGTGACTGTTGTAAAAGGGGACGTAAAGCAGCACTGTCGTAAGAGGGGCAGTAAAGCACGACTGTTGTAAGACGGGCCGTAAAAGATGCCGTAAAGCGCGACTGTCGTAACAACTGCCGTAAAAGCGCGACTGTCGTAGAAGGGGTCGTAAAGCGCGACTGTCGTAAAAGGGGCCGTAAAGCGCAATCCTCGGAATAGGCGGGGGTGTGTCAATCAGACTTGTGTGCCAGAAGTTTTTGGGACACAGGCTTTATTAAGCACTTTATTATTATCTCCCGCCGGGCCGTGACTGCCGTGGAGCCAATCCCAGCCTGCAAGGCGCTGCTTGAGCTGTTTGCTGCACTGGGGGTGCCCGCAGCAGCCGCCCCGCCGAGCTCGGCCCCTTCTG